AAAATAGAGTGCTGAATAGAGTAAACGAATCACTTCTCTTAACTTGCAAGTGACACTCTTGTTGATACAACCCAGAATGCTGTTGCCTGTTGGCTTTTTTTTTCCCCCATAATAAGAACACGTTGTTAGTTCATATACAGCTTAACCCTCATGTAGGCATTTTTGATCTGTTCAGGGTCACACCCAGAAGGATCATTATTGCCCACAGGGATAAGCAGTTGTCAGGCTGCAACCTCAAACCTGGGTCCTTGACCTGACCAGCACAGCCACTCATCCTGGCCTGCCAACCTACAGATGGTTGCCCAGTTAGGTCAAGGCTGTCCTGAAGTTGCCAGCAGGACCTAGCCCTCCACCCACTCACTTACATTAGAGTGGAAATGAACTAACTTACCAGGTCCCCCATATAAACCCCTGGTCTGAACCAGGAAGTATCTGGGCAATAGGGCTCAACCTGATCCCACACTGCTTTGCTGTTTTCTCTGGCTTGCGCTCTGACTGCTTCCTGCTTGATCTCCTGGCTTCTCAAACTGGCTTGTTCATTGACTCTGCTCTCTGCCTAATCAGGCAGCTTTCTGACTTGACTTGTTGCCTGATCCCCTGGTCGCCCATGATCTGGCTTGACAGAAGCATGGAATAGTTGTCTGAGTACCGGATGAGTCTGGGCAACCTTTCTGTGACATCGTTGATGCGGGTTCCTGGCAGATCTCCCAAGTCAACAGGTCAGGCCAGCAAGTAGATGCCTCTGTGTCCTGCAGAAGGGAACTGACCATTACCACCACCCGTTGCTTCCTCTTGGCAGCAGAGGTGTCAATCTTTTCTCCTTTAGGGGGGCCTGGCTTGGCCTCTCCTGCCAATAGAGTGGGCTCCTCCTCATCTTATGCTAGGGCTTCATACTTGTTCTCCAGCTGGACAGCCACAAGTTCAGAAGAGAAGTGCTGTCTGTTGCCAGAAGTGACAAACTGCCAACATCCAGCTTCCAAAGAAACTGGGTCTTCCAATGCCCTCTCTAGGTGTCCCTCTTCCATGATGCTGGAAGTCTCTTTGTGCACTGGAGTCATGAAGACCTCATGCTCACACATGTTTCTAAAACTATTCACCTCCTCCTTCTGAAGGTCCCTTACCCCATTCCTAAGAGAATCCACCCAGAAACACCTCAAACACTGCAAGCACTCCCCCATCTGACAGGAACATGCAGGCTGCAGGCTGTGAGCCCCGCAAAACCAGACCAGAACTTGAGTGGAAGCTTCAGTGGTCAGTGGCTGTACTTGGACAGAGGACAAGCTGGTACAGGCATTAGCAGGATTTTGGCATTGCAACATCTTTCAGTCATCTTACTGATTCTCCTGCCAGCTCCTTCTTTCCATTGGTACTCCTAAAATATCCTCTTACTCCTTTACCTGCTTCCACTCAGTAAGTTTACATTGAAAAAAGGAAGTGTCCAGGCAAACTCCCCGCTCAAAGCCAACAGGTCAGGCCAGCTCCACTCCCTGTTCAAACCCCTGCTTGCTAACGTGTTTGCTAGTCCTGTGTTACTTGCTCCATATTCACATTGATTAGTTTTAAAATATGCCTCAAAATGTATCACCAGTTGTAGGATTTGTGGGCAGAATAAAAAACAAAAAAAAATATGTTGCCAATATCTTTCAAGCTTCTTGAGTTAAAAAGTCAATTAACTCCTAAGCAATAGTAAACCCCCAAAACAAAACAAAACACTTTACCAAACTTCAAAAAGAAAAAAATGACTGCAATTTGAATCAAAATGACTGATTCCACTGCAAGTGGTGAAAATGGGTAAGACTTCAAACAAAAAGTGCTCACAACCTGCCAACACAAAGCTGCCAACTTGCCAACACAAATATTGGCTAAAACAAAAGCCGCATGTCCTATTCCATTTTTTTAAAGAGAAACAGAAAATATTTCCACAAAACTAAGAACAGAACTTGTACTCTATTTCTTGGGGAAATACAGAAAATTATTTATAAAAGCAATACATGCCAATTTAATCGGGCCACCTGCCCCTCTCTGCCACTGCTTTTACTGCCGCCTGCCCCCCTGCCATTTCTTTCCTCACTGCAGCAGTGGAAGGAAGTGGGGATGGGCATGGATACATTTAAGATGATATTCCAATAATTAGATTCTGTATGTGGAAAATTATAACAAATTTAAAATTTTCCATGTGTAGAATCTAATTACTGGGGGATGGTCTTAAATTCAAAGTCATCTTGGATTCAGGTAAATATGGTAGTATAGTTACTGACTATAGTGAACAACAATTAATCCTGGGTATATGACAAAAGTGTTACCTTCTTTAACCTTGAAACATCATGTGACTGAAGTCAGAAAATAAACTTTTGTCTCTATATACCTACGCTGCTTACATTACCAGAGTATTATATATTTTGAACTATGAATGCCCACATAGGGAATTATAATGGTATAACCAACACAGTAGAAGCACCCTGGTATAATATGGGAAAAAATTCCCACGTACACAAACTCTTACCATATTTTCTTGCATATAACATGGTCCAGAATAAACTATGCACCTTATTTTTGAAAGGCAGAATGAAGAAAAAAAGACCATTCCTTACGGTAAGTAACTAAGTAAAAGCAGCTAGGCAGTCAAGTGGGCTCATTGTTCTGCTCCCTATAGATCGAATGCAGTTATTTTTACTTTTGTCCATTAGATACTTAAGAACCAGAAACAGTTATTACTATATTTCCCCTCTCATAATGCAAACCCCAATCTGCAGCAGCTGCTCTTTGGGAAAAAGCAGTTCTTTGTATCACAACTTTTTTGCTTGTAACACCTCACACATCATTTTACTCTGCCTGGCAATACTTTGCTAAACTATTAAAGGACAAAATTCAGCTTCAGTTCATTTGTTATGCTCAGATAGTGCAAAAGGACCATAGAAGTGGCATAAAAGGACAGCTATCAATTCGTCCTAGAACAAGGAGCATCTAAGTGCAGGGAAGGATATCAAAGTGATATGTGGTCCAGTGATCCTGACTGGCATAATAAGATTTAGCGACTTGCAAAGGTTAGTTCTGTCTAACAACTTTAAGATTTAGCGTAATTCCTTTGGCTCTCTTCTTGGCTCTTTCACTAACTGGAGCTCAGCTGAAAGTCAGAATTGCCCTATAGCATTTTCTAATGTAAGAAAATTTGAAAGAATCTTTATATTGCCAAGCTCAAGAATTCCCAAAGAACTAGTAGAAGACTTAATGAAACCTCTTAGCAATATGACAGCTAGTCGGAATGTCAGATACATAACTGCAGGAAAAGAATCTCTATAAAAAAACAATATGGGAAAGGAAAAAGTTTACACTTAAATATGATAAAGCCTCAGAAGAACATAATGAGACATTAAGGCTGCTTCCAGATGTAAAAAAACAAAACAAAACAAAAAAAAAAACGCCCAAAAGATGCACTTTACCAAAAGCAGAGCATGTTACTTGTACCCAGCTCCACAGCATCGGTAAAAATCAGGCACTTCAGCAGGGGTATTTAGCACTTTTAGCTAAAGCTGATTCAACCACCTATTAGATAAAGAGTTTAAAAAGCCCCACTAAGGTACATGATCTTTACATATGTCGGGCGAACCGTGTTGACGTAACATGCTGCCTCTTCTGGGCATGAGTAGGGCACAAGGCAGGAAAGTGCCAGGTGTAAAGTAAAGCACCATTTTGTTTTTTTACATCTGCAAGTGCCCTTAATGTGCATTGTAAGTGAAATGAAAGTGGTCCTGAAGCAAAATTGAAAGAATCCTCTATGGCCATAAATTAATGCTTAATTCATGCCAAGCACCTTGGCTCACAAAAACACTTGGCAGTAATAACAGTACTAGTTGATATAAAAACCCACTACCAGCTCGAAATTGAGTCCGTTTAAAAAAATGGGAATTAAAATAAGTTTCAAGTGCTAAACCTAGTCATTCAATCCATATGCCAAGTTTTGTAGTTTTACAATTTACAATGTTTCTCTTACCCCACTTTTCTTATTGGCAAAAAAACCAAACAAACAAAAAACCCTAAACAAAACCAACAAACAAAAAAAATGGACTCATTGTAAAAGTAAGTGAGGAAGCAGAACATACACAAAGTGCTGTTAAAAGCAAAAAAAAAAAAAAAGTCAAACAAACTACAGGTAATATTCTCGTATATCATTACAAGTATTCTAAAGGTCAAATCTCAGGTATTGTTAAGCAAAAACAATTAGAGTGGGGAAAGCCTATTTCAGAGAGAAGTGGGTGTGCATGTGCATGTGTGTGTGGGCATGTGTTTCCACACTCACTGATCCCTTTAACACGAGTGTCAAAGATATGGCCCACAGAGCCCCATTACCTGGCCCTCAGTGCTGCCTCTACGTCCAAAGTTGACCCATATGTAGCATGAAGTGTACTCCGAACCAGTCCCACATGCAGGGTCTGAGACATCCACACCACACGGTGCTCGCCCCAGTCAGTCCAGCACACGTTACATACCTTGGCCGGTCCAGGACATACACCACATGTGAAGCCTGTCCGCAAGGCAGGTCTCAGGCTGAGTTGGCTCCATCTCAGACTGGATGGGCATGCATCGTGGACTAACTGGGGCTGGAATAGCATGTGTCCCGGATAGGACAGAATAAGCACCGTATCCAGTGGATGTAGCATGTGGGGTGGAGCGGTTGAAGAAGTGTGTGCGCACAATCCAGCCCAGTGCCAGCCCTGCACCACTCATGAAGCCCACAGGGCCAGATGAGTTTGACACCCCTGCTTTAACACATGCTTATTAAGAATTTTCTCTGGTTCTTACCCCCTCCTCAGGCAAGACAGACAGTGGCACGACTCAAGAGAGAGTCAGCCTGGGTACTGAGCAATTAATTCGCCAGTAACTAAACAATCCTAGTAAACACCCCCAGTAAACATCATACTGGTTAGCTATGAATTAATTCCACATCAGTTACTAAAACACAAAGGGAGAAAAGGGCATGAAAGATCTTAAAAGTACCTTACCAATCCCAATAATCTGCCGTCTTCCTTCATGGCAAGGAAGCGATTTGCACATACACCTTTAATTGATACCACTCCTCTTTCTTCTGCTTGCAGTTGTAATTTGACTGGGAAGAAAAAGATAAAACTCAGTTTTTATCAGTATACTTCAACACTCAACCAAGGGTGAAAACTGTTGCTCAAGACAGAAAAAGGGGAGAAAACCATGGATAAAGTATATGGCAGGGATACAGTTTTTTCCATTTCTAATTTTCTGGCTCCACTATCAAACAAGGAAAATGAAAAAGAAACTAAACAGTTATCATAAACTTTACACTACAGTGGTATACAGATATGGTTATACATCACTTCTGTATCAATGTTTTGACCTACATGTAAAATCAGTGCAATTCCTCACAGGAACACTTAATATGGTGGTTATGTTGGGGAAGTCATAGTTAAATTTGGCACAGTTAATTGCTCATAGATAGGAAACTTCTATGTAAATTTCTTTATGAAAACATTTTCTCTATGAAAAACATTTGCTAACATTTAGCCCTTGGACTGACTTTGGACTGAATTTTTTCATAGGTAGATCCTTTGATATAAAACATTAGACCTTTGTGCTTAAAGGCATGAATTAGCACCACAATTAAGGACCTTGTTATTTCTTACACTGTGAGCCTCACAGAAGTTGACTGGTGTTTCGTGCGACCTTGAGTTTGGAGCAGTCACATTCAGGACCAACTAAAAGGTAAGAATCTCCCCACCTCCTATTCTGAGCTTCCCCCTTGCTCCTTAACCCCAGGGACTTCTCTGGTAGGTCCCTCCCTACCCCTGGGGTTCCCCCCTTGCCACTCAAGGTTCCCCCCTGCCTCCCCCACTTCCCCCAGGGCGTTACTTACTTGTGGCTGCCTGCACTGTCTGTCCCGGGGAAGCAGGCAGGGAAGGGTTAACCTGCCTGCCCCTCCACCACTGCTGCCCAGGCTGCTGGTCTTCTGGCCCAAAAAGCAGCAGCAGCAGTGGCTAGGCAGGCAGAGTTAACCCTTCCCCACCTGCTCCCCCAGGGCAGATAGTGTGGGCAGGCACAAGCAAGCAGGAGAGGAAGGCAGGGAGACAGTGAGTGGGGATCTGGGGTGCTGGGGAGGGCAGAGTGGCAGTGGGCCCAATCCAGGCCAGTGGAAGAAGCAGAGCAGGTAAAGCATTTATACCAAGGGTAGCCTGGAGTGGCTATACCTTAGTGCAACAGGAGCCAGGTAGCACAGATCAGAGATAATTGGGTCCTGGTGTCACTTTGAGCACCCAAAAGTGCTTAAAACCAACTTCAGGTGTTACTGTGCAGACAATCCAGGTGTTAAGAGCTCCAGTAGCCATCCAAAATGACCATGGTACAAGGCCCTAAGTATTAAGGGCTAGTATTTGTTATTTGCCTTAGGGTCTTGTTACACGTTGCAGTTTGAGTTGCTCAAATGTTCAGTGTTAGTTCTACCTCGAGTTTGGAGCAGTTGCATATTAAGGCTAAAAACCTTCTCTGACTGTCCCCAACCTGCACAGCTGTCACTTGCTATTATAGGACTGGAGAGCAGGAGCCTGACTAGGAGCTACAGCTTTGAGTTGCCACTACAGGGCTGGTGAGCCAACACAGGCTTCTATCCCTGCTCTAAGTTGGGGTATGTGAGGGATGGGCTGTTGGGCAAGGGGAGAGGTGGGCAGAACATGAAGCTGGGAGGCAGACAGTTAATGGGATGGGGGTGGGTAGTGAAACGGGAGGTGGAAAGGAAATGGGGGTGGGGAAAGGATGGTGAAATGAAGGGTAAAATAAAAAGAAGCAAAAAACAGTTTACAAAGAAATAATGAAGTAAATTAAAGAAGGGCTCATGTGTTAATCAACTGGCAATTGGGATTGAGGTGTGCAGAGTGCTGGTCATACTTCCCAGGGTGGCCTAAAGGTGGGAATGGTGAGGAAAGGCACGTTTGGGGGAGCTATTGTCCCTGCCCCAGAAAGGAAGCCCATGCTCATGCAGACCCGTTTCAGCCCTACCTTGTTCCCCTCATCTCCTCCCCCTCCCCCCCCCACCACTCCTGGAACCAGCCATCCCCTGCGACCCAGCTAGCTGGCATGTGCTCTGCAGGCTGTTTCTACTGGGTTGCACCCCTGGAGGTGGGAAGGTCACACACTCAGGGGCAGGAGGGGAAGTTGGCTTGGTTCCAGACCATCCCCAGGGTAGCAGAGTTCAGTGGGTGGTAAGTGTGTGTGTCGGGAGGGGTGGGGGAGCAGTTTGGGCAGTTCATCTGTGAGGAGTGGCCAGATATTAATGGAATACGAGCTGGGTCACATGGATCAAACATATACCTACCCTGGAGTGGCTTAACTTCAAATTGCCTAAAGCATACTTAAAACTAGTTTCAGGTGTTAATGTTTGGATATTGCAGGTGTTATGAGCTCCAGGAGCCACCTAAAATTAATATGCAACAAGCCCTTACAACAGTACTTAGCAGACCTTGTGGAGGACCAAAAACCCCACTTCAAGTACCTCCCCTGTGGTGCCTACATCAGGCTGACCCTCTTCCTGGAGCATACCTGCAAGCCGGGGGTAACCGCTGCCACCATCCAGGGTCTGGTCTTTGGCCGGGCTTTGTGCCCCCAGGGATACACAAAATTTGTAGAACTTGAGGGTACTTAACCCACTGTGAGATCTTGGGGTGCTTCCTTTAGCCTGAAGCACAGCAAATAGCCTCCCTAGTCAGCCAAGCAAAGGGAGCAAAAAGGCTTGCTCAATCCCCCCCAAGCATGTATAACAAGGTTTGCTATAACACAGGGATGGGTAAAATACAGCCCACGGGCCAGATGTGGCCTGCCAGGCCATTCTATCTGGCCCATGGCGCCCCTAAAGAATTTAGAAAAAATTTATCTGCTCCTGGCTGCCTGTCAAAGACGGCAGAAGCAAGTGGCAGTAGGACCCAGGGGGAGCCTCAGCAGGAACGCAGCAGCCTAGCCCCACCCCACCCCCAGCCATTTCCCTGCTTCCCTGCCCCCGTGCTGCTCCAGCACCACATGGCTCCCGGCTGCATCGCCAGACTGGGGACCATGGGGCCCATGCTGGTACCCCCAGTGTGTGTGTGTGTCCACACCCCATCATACACATGCACCCACACACCCCCTTGCACTGCCATACACGCAGACCCCCACACCCTACCACACCATTTTAAGTCATGGCGACTCCACAGCCTAGCACTGCTCAGTATGCATGTGTACTCTAGATACCACTTACAAAGAATCCACATGCTAATGTGGCATCTTAGCACCTCATTGCAACTGGAACTGTGTATTCTTGTTACAAGTCTTGCAGATGAGGCACAGGGCTGCCTAAGGATCACCCTCCACCCTACACATAGCTCCCCACAAACCCCACGCCCCACATATCCACACCCCACCACATGCTCCCTCCCACCACACCCCCCACACCTATCGACCCCGCCACAGGCACATCCACATCCTCCCCCACATACCCACACACCCACAGCCCCTCCACAAACCTATACCCACCCAATATACAAAAGTAAGACTCCATTTTAAATTATTATATACAATCACCTCTATGTGCACTACACGAACACATATAAACCAAGACAAAAACATTTTTTGAAATCAAATTAATTAATCTTTTAGATGTTTGCTTTTTAGAATATAATTTGGTATTTTTCTGGTTCCAAGATAGCAAACCCCCTTGCTGAAAGGAGTATTTCTGGGGACATCAATGCCGCAAAGTCAATGCAGCACTGATACCTACACAGTCAGATGGGTGGCAAATTGGCTAGCTGGTCACACCCAGAGAGTGGTGGTGGATGGGTCATTTTCAGCCTGGAGGGATGAGGGCAGTGGAGTTCCCCAGGGCTCTGTCCTTGGGCCTGTGCTATTCAACATTTTTATCAGCAACTTGGAAGCGGGCGTGGAAAGCACGCTGTCCAAATTCGCTGATGACACAAAGATGTGGGGAGAAGTGGGCACACTGGAGGGGAGGGACAGAATCCAACTAGATCTAGACAAGTTGGAGGTGGGCGGATAAGAATAGAATGGAATTCAACACAGACAAGTGCAAGGTGCTGAACCTAGGGAGAAGGAGCATGCAACATACCTACAGGCTGGGGAACACCCTTCTCAGCAACACAGTGGCTGAAAGAGATCTTGGAGGCCTTGTTGACTCCAGGATGGACATAAGCCGCCAATGCAAGGAAGCGGTCAATAAGGCTAACTGCACCTTGTCGTGCATATATAGATCCATCACAAGCAGGTCCAGGGAGGTGATCTTCCCCCTCTATGCGGAACTGGTCAGGCCACAGTTAGAGTACTGTGTCCCGTTCTGGGCACCGCACTTCAAGAGGGATGTGGCTAACCTTGAGAGGGTCCAGAGGAGGGCCACTCGCATGGTCAGGAGGCAGCAGGCCAGGCCCTACGAGGATAGACTAAAGGGCCTGAATCTTTTCATCCTCCACAAGAGAAGCCTGAGAGGGGACCTGGTGGCCATCTATAAACTCACCAGGGGGGACCAGCAGAAAATAGGTGGGGCTCTGTTCCCCTGGGAACCACCTGGGATAACAAGGAATAATGGCCACAAACTGATTGAGAGCAGGTTCAGGCTAGGTATCAGGAGGTATTACTTTACAGTTAGGGCTGCCAGGCTCTGGAATGGGCTCCCAAGGGAGGTGGTGCTCTCCCCTACCTTGGAGGTCTTCAAGAGGAGGTTGGATAAAATTTCTGGCTGGGGTATTATGATGCCAGCACTCGTTCTTGCCCAGGGCAGGGGGTCAGACTTGATCTATTCAGGTCCCTTCCGACCCTGGAAGGTATGAAACTATGAAACAAGGGGAGGGACTTCTGGTGGCAAAGGTCAGGAGTTAGAGGGCAGGACTTCCAATTACAAGATGGCACCCAGGGGGTAGGACAACTGTCAAGGGGTGGGGCTACCCATGCAGCCCTCAACTGCTTGCCAAAACTGGGTAAGCGGCCCTCCACCTGAAATAACTGCCCACCCCTGCTGTAAGATAGCTGTATTGATAACAGCATGATAATACAGGAATGGGGGTTACAGCGGTGAAGCAGACTGGGGGGGTGCGTAATTTCTCCACA